CCAGGGAGGCAGGGGCACCTACCATGCGATTTCGACGCCTGACCCCTGGTTATTTCCGGGTGCTACAGGTAAGTACCCCTAACTGATGGCTTTTGGCACTGACCCCTTCCTCTCTCTACCATGGCTGGGTTGTAACCCCCAACAGCCAGGCTGTCACGTTCCCTGCCGCCTGAGCAGCCAGGGCCCAGATGGGCAGTGAAGCGAAAGGGATTGGGGTGGAATCTCCCTGGGGCAGCAATGGCAACCATATCGCCTTTACCCAGATGTACCTTCTCAGCCCCTTCCCACCACCCACCTTCTTAGAGGTCTTAACTGACCCATCAGGCGGACCCTTTGTGCATCCTCAGATGCAGCTAGCCGGGGAGCTGAAAGCAGAGCCCCGGAATCCACTGACCGGGGTTGTGGCTACACTGCTGGCTGTCCTTGGGCTGGGTGGCTCCTGCTATGCTGTCTGGAAGATGGTGGGGCAACAGCCGCCACCACAGGCTCCATGATGAAGTGGGCAGCCTCTTACCTGGGACCTGGGGGTAGGTAACTCAGCAGGGGTTGCAATCTTGGGAGTCTACTTTTCTGCTTTCTTTGGAAGCAAAACAGCATAAACCTGACCCTACTCCCCAATCCTCCCTACACCTGGGCTCTACCTGGGGGCTCCAGCTCAGATTCCAAGACCCCTGTGGGAAGGCAAGGATGCAGGTTCCAAAGGTGGACCCAGTGGCAAATTGACACCCTGGGCCCTGTACAAAAGAGAAGAACAGATACCCTTACAGGGCAGGAGTTTGGGGGAGTGGCCTGGAGGTTGAGAAGTCAGAAGCAAGCCTTCTTTATCCAGTTCCTTTATTCGTGGGGGAGGGCACCCAGAAGAGGCCATCCATTCTCCAAATCCAGGGCCAAAAGAGATTGGCACAGTCTCTCCCAGCCTAGCCTTACATCACTGTCCATGGGCAGCTCCCTGCCTTGCATCCTCAGGCCATGTCAGGTAGACGTGTCCATCTCAGGGACCTCAGTGGATACTTCTGTGGGCACTGCCAGCCGCTGGGGGGCCACATAGGAGCCCATACCTGCTGCCCTCTCGGCCTCTTCTTGACTGTAGGGCTCCACGCTCAGCTGCTTTAGCCTGGAAGAAAGAGGAGTTGGGAGCTGATCAAATGCGAGCCTTGTCCGTCCAGCACCCAGCCATCAATCCTCTCCTTATTCCTTATACCTTTTCTTGTGGTCTTTGGATCGGAAATGGGTCTTCAGGTTGGCGGAATCGATGAAATACCTCCTGTATGGATAAGGGGTAAGAGGAGGGTGATAAGGTGATTGATGCCTCTCAGGTACGTCTGTCTCCTTGACCCTAACTCATCCCAGGACACCAAGCTCCAATTCTGAGGGATGGGAGGTCAGCAGACCCACGGGTCCCAAGAGACCAGCTCGTTCCAGGGCCCGAACCTTACAGCACCGACCCGTACCACAGACCCTTCTCCTCCCCAGGCCGAGCCCTGCGGGACTTACGCGCAGGCCAGACAGCGATGCAGGCCGCCCCCTGGCAGATCCGGGTCGGGCTCGGCGACTGGGTCTGGCCGGGGCCGTGCCGGAATCTGCGGCCGCAGTTCGCGGTGAATCTCATCCAGGTCCGGCCGCCGCCGCTTCGCCTTCATCTGGCGGGCCAAGGAGTGCGCTCGGTGCGCGCCTGTCCGGCGGGAACGACCCATGGCTGGTGACAGCGGGGCCAGGGGGCCCAGAACCGAGTGGAGAGCACACGTGCAGGCGCTTCCGGACTGTTCAATGACGTCATGCGACTCTCGGGGGCGGGGCAGGCTCAGCTAGACCGCCGCTGATGACGTCACTCGCGCGGCCCGCGCCTCGAGTGACCCCAGGCGGCCATAGATGTTAATGACTGAGCTCTCGGCGGGGTCCTGCGAAGTGTTCTAACCCGTAGCGTAAGGAGGTCCGCCGGGCGGTCGCTGGGGAGGGGCTGGGGGAGGAGTGCATGCCCCGGGTGGGGATCCCGGCGCTTCCCGTTGCCCTGCCTGCCCCATTCCCTGCACCACCTATCTCAGCGTTATCCTCTGGCCTTATCATTCCTTCCTGGCAGATCTTAAACTCCGCAGTGGAGGGGGAATGCTTTAAGCATCTCTGGGAGGCACTGAAAATGTCTATCATGTGAATAAATTAATAAATGAATGAGAGTGAATAAGTTTGCGAATAAGTGAATAAGTCCCCATAGGACTTCTCGAGTTACCTCCAGTTCCTGACAAAGTCTTCACCACTTCTCTCTGCTCCCCAGTTATTCCCTCAGGTCTCCATCCTCCATTCACCCGGAGCCAAATCCGTGAGGGAGGTCACAGCGCTCTGTCAGACTTAAGAGGGATCAGCTCCTCCCACAAGAAAAGGAGGTGCTCATAGAAGGTCCTTCCATCTTTGCTCGCTTTCTCTAAGCCCTGGACTCCCAGGCGTGGGTTGGCAGCAAAGGCAGAGATACAGCCTAGGTGGTGTGCGCTCAGAGGGGAGAAGGCCGGAGAAGCCTCTTCCCATTCGCCGGAGCCAGGTGCCTTCCAGGCTTCCAGAGGAGCTCAGCAATAATTCAAAGGTTCCAGCTCTTTGGAACCTGTTGCCAGGGAACAGGGAGACAGGCACGTGCATCCCTACGGAGAGGAATCAGTTTCCAGCACAGAGGAAGCAGTGAAATGTAAGCCCGGGGAGCTGACTGGGGACCTTGAGACCTTCCCATTACAGTTCACAGAGGCTAAATGGGGACATAGGTCAGGGCCCTGCTGAGGGCACAGCTGGTATTTAGTCATAGGGGCACTAGTGTGGGTCCTGGGCTCAAGGACATTGGAACTGGTCTTTGTGAATGGAAGAGAATTTTTCTGGAGACATCCCAAGATATCAAATTCAAATACTTCTAGACCCAAGAAGGAGGCCTCTGTGGAGAGAGATGTCTTCATTATTCTTGGCCAATATGGGTCACAACAAGGGGCTGAGGTGGCATAAGCCTGCTTTGTTCCACCCCCACCTCAGACTCCTTTGGATCAATTCACTTGCTGGGCACTGTGCCAGCTGGGCAGGCTGGTGCATTTTTAATAAAGTCACCAGATCCCTGGGACAAGCTCTTTGCCTCACCAAGTTTCTGAAGCCAGACCCTGGGTGCCCACTGAGCCATTGCCTTCCTGTGCCTGGGTGCCAGGCCTATTTTCCCTGCAACCATGAACCAGGCCTTCTGGAAAACCTACAAATCCAAAGTACTACAGACCCTGAGTGGGGAATCTCAGGAGGACCTGGCAGAGGAGGTGGGTACCATCCATGCTTGTGGGTGGGCATGGGCAGAGAGGCTGCAGGAGTGAAAGGTACAAAGAAGGGCAAGGGGCAGGCTCGGGAGTGGGGCACATTTGTGCAGAAGCAATCAGCACATTCAGGCATGACAAATGTCATGGTACAGTGTCAGAAAGCCTGGAGGTTCAAGAAAACTGAGGAAGAAGACTTGCGAGGAACTGGAAGGGTGATCATTGTCTCCAGAGATCTCAAGGGTTGCCACATGGAAGAGATCCTTCTAGGTCCAGTGAGCAGTGGCGACATACGGTATACTCAACTCCACATAACTTTCTAATGGGCAGAGCTGAGCACAAGTGGGATGGCTTGCCTTGAGGGGAAGTGAGCTCCCTGGATACTGTAAGTAGGGAAGGTGACCCTTGTTCTCTGAGGATCACTGTAGCAGCATCAGATCAGAGCTACTCTTGGACCATATATGTCCTGACATTAAAAAAACAGAAAAGGCTCTGAAATAGTTTTATTTACATCTAGAGGCTCTGATAAGTGACAACTGTGCAAATAGACATGGCAGGGAAAGGAACATACTCTGTAGTGTGTGTGTGTGTGTGTGCGCACACACGCGCACGTAAGTGTATTTCTAGACAGGTTGATATCCAGTGCTGCGCATGTGTAGGTATTAGGATTGACTTCCATACAGAATCTCCAGTGAAAGTGTATGTGTAGGTGTGAACTGAGTATAAGTATTTTAGGATGTGTACTTTTAAGGCCAAAGTCTATGCCCACATACCTCTCTGCAGGATTGGCAAGTGTTCTGTTTTTATGGTGTGTGTACATCTGTGTCTTGGTGTCTGGATGGGTGGAGAGATTTTGCGTGCTGCAGGTGGGCCTCTGTGCAGATGTCTGCAGTTGTATAGGTGCACAGGTGTGAATAGTATAATTGTGTACATGTCCTTGTATAGGCGCCTCACAGCATGTGCAGCTACATATACGTGAAGAGCTGTAGCCATGTGGAGGCATGCTCATGTTCAGGCGTGTGTCTACATCATTGTGCATACCCATGTCCACGTTTTGGAGTATGTATGGAAGTGTCTGTGGGTGGGCAAGTATGTGTGCTCAAGGGTGTCTGGGGATTTTCTATACAGGTAATGTATGTGACTAGTAGCTTTGTGTAGAGGAATACCTGTATGCATTTGTGGAGGGTGTGAGGGTGCTAGTTCTGTGGAGTTTGAGGTGCCTGGTTTGTGTTTACCAGGCTAGCAGTAGGGGAGGGAGTTCTCATTCCTCTGGGGCCTCTCTCATGCTGGGGGGTGGGGGGTCTTGTGTCCTAGAGGGAGAACCCAGCATTAGTGGAGTCTGAGATGGTGGAACCGACCCCAGACACCTTCAATCCCATGTCACAGCTGGCTCGCCGGGTGAGTTCTTCCTTCTTCCAACATAGCCTTGGGGAGCCTGGCAGAGGCTGCTGTGGTCTTGGGAGGTCATGCTGTTGTCCCTTCCTGACTCCCATCCCCTCCCTCCCAGGTTCAGGGTGTTGGGGTAAAAGGATGGCTGACAATGTCATCTCTGTTTAACAAAGAAGATGAGGACAAGTTGCTGCCACCGGAGCCCTGTGCTGACCAGTATGTGTGTGTGTGTGTTGGGGGGGGGGTGGTCTGGGACAGGCCTGGGGTCCCCTTCATGTCCTTTCTATTTGATCTGTTTGACCATGGGGGTTGGGAAGGGCCAGCCCCTGGCTGTTTCCATAAAAAAAAAGAGACCAAAGCAGCATATCTGGGAGATTAGGTTAGATATCGGGAGGAATTTACCAGCTGTTGGGATTGTGGTGCTAGAAGGTATTATGGGCTCTCTCTCCCCATCCACTTGGGAGGGGTCATCTTCCTAGAATCAGGGAACCGAGGAGAGAACCTTTCGGTATTTGGAAAAGAGGGTGGTCCAGATTAGTGTTTGCCAAATAGCAGTCTAAACCCCCATCCTACCAGGGACTTGTGACAAATTCTCAGACTCTCATTCAAAGATTCAGATTAAGCAGGTGTGGGCTGAGGCCTGGGATCTAGCTTTTCAGCAAGCTCCCTGAGGACCTGAGGCACATTACTTTAGGAACCACTGTTTTAGCAGGTCTTTGATGCTGAGGGTTGGGGGTGGACCTCGGGCCTCAGTCTTCCTCCTAGCTCTGTCGCTGACACACCCTCAATCTCTGCCCCTTCCTCCAGCCCAGCAGTCACATCCTTTCCTTTGACACTCCCCTATTCTTGCTCCCCTACACCCACCTCTCCTCCCCGTGCTTATGCTCTCTCTCTCTCTCCCAGCTCTTGTAAGATTCTGCCTCAGACATGGTCCCCTTCAAGCCGCAACACCGCTCCTTGATTGCCCTTCCCCCCACCTCTCTCTGCTGCCTCCTGATCTAGACTTGTCTCTTTC